GCTGTAGTGCCCACCAGCTGTGGTGCTCCTTGGCACCTGGCACTAGTTTTCTGTGGTTGTTAGTTATTTTTCCATGTATGTCCCTTCTCTGGGCTTGTTGTTCAGTGACAGGAACTATCCTATCACTCTTGATAGAGTAATATTTCAGTAATGGTTGACTGTTATTGATGTAAGAGAAAAAGTTTACCTGTAGAAATTGGATATATAATCATCCAACTTGACTGTATCTATGCTTCTAGAAGTTCTATAAAATGATTGGTTCAGGAGAAAACTTGGTGTTTGTTGTATTTCTACTTGATATGGAGCATCATATTGTCCCATTGAATCCTCCTGTTAGCCATGAGGCAGATTTTCTTTTCTCCATGTTTATGTCTACAACACAGAAACTGATACTTTAACTCGCTATGTGTGAATTCATGCCCCGTGTAGTAAGTAGTGAAGTGTAAGTAGTGAAGCTGTGATTTGAAGTTAGGACTCAATGATTCCATGGCCCAAGGCTTTCTCTCTTTACCACTGCTTGCCAGTAGAAATAGTACAGTACTTTGATCAACCAATGAGAATCAGAAAGGGCCTTCTGGATAATTATACATGTTAACAAGGGGAAGCACAGAAGAGAGAGCAATTAGCAAACTAATGAATCATCCTCTGTTGCACAAATAAGCTTAATTGAATTTATTTAGGGAGAAGCAGCAGAGTGGTCCTGCATCTGTGTTCCAGCTACATAATCTTGGACCAGTTACTTAAACTCTTGGAGATATGTTCTTTTTTTGTGTGTTTGTAAAATGAGATCCCACTCTTTAAGGCCTACCTCACCTTACTATGAGAAGCAGAAAAGGTAATGTATGTACAATGAATAAAGAGAGTAAAGAAATATTCAAATGGGAGACATCATTTAGGCATGATTATGGCTAAATAACAGACATTAATGAATAAAACATTTTGCATTTCAAGCACATATTAAAATTGTACAGTAAGGAATCAGTCTCAGCCTAGATTTTAATAAGAAAAACATCTCTAATCCAGGTTTAAGGCATGACTTAGGCAAATAAAAATTAGATCTTTAGAAGCATTTATGCTAATAGCAATTTTAAATGATTTTCTGTGCAGAATGGAAATTGACCACAAAATTAATGGGTGAGTTAATGCTAAATTGAGAAGCCTGACTTTATTAGCAGAAGTCTTTGTTTTTATTTAAGTTACTTTAGTGTTACAGATTTAATAGAACTGCCAAATATTCAGGAGTCCTGAGAGAAACATCCTTTCTTAAAGATGTACTTTTTAAGTTCTCCCTTAAGAAATCATAAAAGGGGGGRAAAAAGCTTTTTATATTCAAGAGGCTTCCTATTACTGTCAATAGCAGTTAAGTATATTTATGGAGACACGAGACAGCACAAAGATTCTTCTGTAATCCATCAGAAGTTCCATCTTAAGTATAATTACATTACACAGCTCTGCTCAGTCATTAGTTTCTTGTTTAGCGATAATGTCCTTCATTTTAAATTCTTTGATGGTAATTATTTGTAACTACGTCCTGAATTCTAAAAGTATTTGTACTAAAGCCCCAGTGAACAATGAGTATTTCTGAACAAGGATGCAATTGGTTTCCCATAAGACATTATGCAGGAAATGATCTGTAACAGCATTGCAAATTTGCAAAGAATTTCTGAGCTTGAGCTACAAACCAAACCAAAATGARTGTGTTTATCATGTGTGTAACGTATGCAATAAAAAAAAAAGCAAGACATTAGATACAAGGCATGATTTTTGTAACCCTAAGTGACCAAATCACATTTTAAAGTTTTTGATAGTTGGTTAAGTGAAGGCACATTAACACATACCAGAGATTGTTTGACCTGAAAGTGAGAGCTCCTTGATATTTTTTACTTCTGGGATTCTTTTTGCAGAAAAATATCTTGTGTTTGTGTATGTGTTCACTTGTTGAGCACCCATTGTGAATCAAGAACTGTTCAGGTGCAGGGAACAAGGTCCTAAGAGAGTCTGTGTCCTCCAACAGCTCACAGGCCAGTGGCCAAGGGACTAAATGAACCAGAATGACTTGATTATCCTCAGGGCAGTGAGAAATAGCAGATCCTGTTATTATTAAAGCAGAAATGTCCCAGCTTGCTACCCTTGCCTGCTGACTTGGACCTAGTAAAAGATGGAAGTTTCCAGGGATGTCTTTGAGACTTACATTCCCTAATTCACCTGGCAACAATGGAACCATGCTCTGAATATAAAGACCAACTGCTTGATCTGGAGTCCTTGAGAAGGGGCATCCCTTCCAGATGCCTCATCTAGACTGGCTAACTCCAGCATTGGGTCATATTGTTTACTATACATCTGTAGCACGTCACACCATTTTGTCCTTCTTGTGTTTTCTTCCCCATCTCCCTTCCCCAGCTTTTGTTCCCTTTGGCTCCTTAGTTTGCCACATTTATATTCTTCACATATGGGAAGTGGTTTTGGTCAAAGTTAAAATCCTGTGGTGTGTTCCTTGGCAAAATGATTTGCTAAGTAAGGCTGGCTTCAACTTGAAAGAAAAGCTTTCAGTAGGCAACAAAACAAAAATCCCACAAGCCACCCTGGCCACACTGGAATTCTTAGTCATAAAAGCTAAATATACTTTACATGTGTGCTTAAATAAAGCCTTCTTTCCCAGCATGAGGAGGTGAGTATTGGAGTCATTATGATGTTTGTTATTCAGTTACATAGTGTTATAGAAATCTATACAGATGTTTCCATTTTTCCCCAAACACTTTTACAGTGAGAATGAGAATGTTTTTTTTTTTTTTTTTTGAGGGGGGATGTCCCACAGATTTTCCTGGAAGAACAAAGAGAACTATGTAGAAACAATGTTAGTAGAGTGTCTATTACCTGCAAGACATTATTGTCGAAGACCAGCCATGGGCTGTGTGTGTGAGCTGTGAGCATTTTGAGAGCACAAGTGGACTGCGCTAATGTTGTTGCTCTGTCTGGACAGTGCAAGTCTGTGTCCTTTTTGCTCGCTGTGCCTTTTGATCCCACACACCACCTGAGATGTGGGTGTGACTTGCCAAGATGTCAATCAGTCTACTGACCACCAGACATCATGAAGCTAGACTCAACCCTCTGAAACCTGACCCTTTGCCTTATTTGGAAAAACATTCCATTAACTTCCCATTGTGTGTCCTCCCTATGAAAGAATAAAGAGTTCAGGTAGCTCTCTCTCTCTTTTCAACCAACTCCTAATGTCGAGAGCCATCCCGGATATTTGAAAAGGTATTTTTGTGTGCTTGTGTGCTTTCTTCGCTGTTTTATCAGTTATTGATGTAGTCAGATTTTGTGAATCTAGCATAAGTCGCCAGCTCAGTTAGATGGCAATACATTATGCTCAGGTTTTATATACAGTTTTTTACTGAACCTCACCACTAACCCCAGGTTGCAGGATGATCTTGATATTTTTTTACAGATTAACTAACGTGGATCTTTTAGACCTTCCCTCTGTCCAGCACATCAGGCTGGTCAGGTGAAGACTCCTGACCTATCACTTGCAACCAAAAAGCAGGTGATAGGTCAGGAGTCTTCTCCAGCTGTTGACCCCTGAAGTTTGCACTGACACAGATGTGAATTGGAATCCTATCTCCATCACTGCCTGAGTGACTCTGGACAACCTGTTTTATCTTTTTTATACCTCAGATTTCTCCCCTAGATTGTGAGTGTTTTCTATTTCACAATACTGTGGTATGGTTGGAAAGAACAAACAGGGAGGACTTGGAAAATAGTTGGTAATTATTCATTCTTGTGTCCCCACCTTTCCTAACACACAGCGCTACTGTGTCCACCGGTGCTTTATGAGAGCTGGCCCAGGCTTGCCCCGGATTCTGAGTCAGAGCTGATTGGCTTTAACAGTAGAATGAATTGGACATAACTTTCCTATGTTCATATATGAATACACAACCAGTGTAACTCCACATCATGTACAACCACGAGAATGGGAAGTTATACTCCATGTATGTATGATATGTCAAAATACATTCTACTATCATGTAGATCTAAAAAGAACAAATAAAATATGTTAAAAAATAACTGATTGGCTTTAGCAGTGGAAGCTGGTTTGATTCTGGTCCTAACATCTTGCCTAGATCCTGATGCATCTTATTTCTTCTGTGAGGTACTCCTCATCCTTTCTCCTCCCCAGCCCCAGCTCTAATTGGGGTCTAGCTATGCATGAACTAGGCTTCCTCCTGCTGCTGGGCCTGCTGGATATCTCATATCCTTTGGATATTGTACAATGCTGTTGTGGTGCTGCCCTTCACAACTGTATGTGGTCATCCTCAGTGTCCACTACTGTTATTCTGAGCATCTTCTAGCAGCCGGGCCCTAGAATAAGACAGGTTTGGTTCAGGCAAGTGTGCTAGGTGCCATACATGCATGAACTCAATCTTCATTAGAACATGTAAAGTAAGTACTGTTAATACATAGATTTTAAAATAAGAAAATTGAGGCTTACAAAAGACCTTTCTCCAAGTCAGTTAGCAAGAAAGAAGTGAATCCAGCTGTTATGCCATATTGCTTTTCATTTTCTTCTGTCTCCTTTTCTGACTGCTCCTTAGAGCAAGTGGTTTCCTTCATTGCAGCACCTTCTAAAATGCAAGGTTGTTGATTTACCTGGTTACATCTTACTAGACCAAGAGCTCCTTGACTGTAGGAACCAAGTTTTATTTGTTCCTGTACCTCTGTGCTTAGCATAATGCCGGCACACAGAAAGTACCAAAGGATATTTGTTGATTGCATTCCATTGGATTTTTCTTTTCTGTCTGCTGTCTTACTTTGCTGAAGCCTCAGCATATTCTATGCCCAAACTCACCTGAACTGTAATAGCTCCCGAATCAACATTAATTCTTGGGTCTGAAACAATGTGTGAATGAGTATATGTGTATATGTGTGTGTTTAGGTGTTTGCTCTTGTATCAACTGAAACAACTATAGTTTTGCAAACACTTGTCTACCCCAAAATCTTTTAAGCCATCATGTTTATTTAGTTTGTTGTAATCTGGAAACTTTCCTTAGCTTTTTTCTTTATGACATAGTCATTTTTGAAGAATATAGTCCATTAAAGAAAACAGAATGCAGGATGGGTTTTTCTGATATTTCTTTATGATTAGATTCAGTCTGTGCATTCCCAGTCTGAGTGATGCCATTTCTTTCCATGCTATCACATCTGGAGGCACATCATGTCTATTTGCCCATCTGAAGTTAATTTGGATCATCCAATCAAGATGTTGTCCTGTTTCTTCCCTATATCATTAACATTCTTTTTCCTCTTGTAACTAATAAACAATCTGTGAAGAGACATTTTAAGAACATGCATACATCCTGTTACTCATCAAAATTTCCTCCTGGATCCATTGATGATCCTTGCCTATCCCTATCTTTAATATAATGATTGCAAAATGATGATTTTGCATTTGAAAGCAATATTTGACCCTAGACAGTATCCTATGTAAGAAGGAGAATGCCATAAGGAACAGAGAACATACATTAATGTTCTATCTAAAGCAATGTCTTTCATTTACTGTATGTTATAGAATCAATTAAGTACAAGTCTCCCCTGGGTTAAATGGTCTCCAGGTTCTAGCCTATGTGAGATCTTATAACCACACATGAGACTTCTGGCATACAGTGCCTGTACAGAAAGTGCAAACTAGATAAGAGTGGTGTTTTGAAATGGGAGATTCCAGTTCTGGTTGCACATATCCAAATTTTTATTAGAAGACAATACAGAAATGATGAGATGATACCTAAAGGGTCTTGAATGTAAGATGCAAGGATAGAGGTCCTAATGGCATTGGTGTCTGTCGGTTCAGTCCCCACTCATGATTGCTGAATACTCCTTCTGGTGTTCAACCAGCTTCAGGAATACTTGATATTTCTTGTCATAATATCTGTGGGAGAAAGATGAATATGTTTAACAGTCTCAAGATGACTTTATCAAGCAGTGTTGCTTTGCATTCAGAAATATGGAATACATCTGTTACAATTACACAGACACCTTCCAGGTTCTGAATGCTTACAGCACCCTGGGCAATAGATTAGCCTGTGTCATGCCTGTTATCTATAAATTACATGCAGTGCTACATGGATTATTTCCATTTCTGAGATAAGGTCATCTTTTTCATGGGGTATAAACAAAATACTATAACTAAAAACCAGCAGAGCTGGAATTCCAAGTCAGATTGGTCTGACTTCAAAGTCTCTGCTGCATGTACCAAAAGGCCCAGGCTTAGCACAGAGCCTTTCACATTCCCAACTTCAGCTACGTGACTAGCCACTGATCTGGTTTAAAACCATAGGCTAACCAGAGATGAGAGTGAATGTTTTATCACTCTTATGGATCCTGCACCTAGAAGTCCTGGGTAAACTGCTTTATTCCATTGTTAAACCCCATGAGAACAATGTGTAAGGACTTTCTTGCTACTGTGCCCTGCCTTCCAGGCATCTGGTCATGGACCTCAATCTCCCTGTCCTCTCTGGCTGACTCTTTGGGTGAGACCTGTCAGAACTGGTGCTGGCTATGAGTCAGATCTCAGAACAGCTGGAGCTGCTTTGTATCACAATGCTGAAAGGTAACTGTGGCCTGGACAAATATGGTACTTGAAGCCTTGCAACTTTGTCCTTACTCCTTTTCTTGGAGGTACTGACATGGGATAAGGGTTGATAAATCCAGTTCAACATGGTTTGGTAGATGCTGGAGTATTCCAAAAGGAGTCCTGATGAGGGAGCTCTGGAGGAAGCTTGTGAATTGGGGGAGACAAGYAGTAAGAGAAACTTTGGATGCACACAGGCTTCTACTTGTCACACATTTCTGCCTTAAGCATTCTGGTAGTGTAGGAGCTGTGATAGAGCCAAACACACAGTTAAGGGGTGGGTGGAGGAGACTCTGAAGCTGGGCTATGAATCTCAGCATGGCCCATGACTTGCTGTGTGACCCAGAGCATGGTACTTAATCCAATTGTGCCTACATTTCCTCTTGTGTAAAAGGGAATAAATCCAGGATCTATCTCAAGAGAACTGTTGTGTGAATTAAATGAGGCAATATATGCAAAGCTCTTAGAACAATGCCTGACTCATAATAAGTGCTAGTTGCTACTTTTAAAGTAATTAATAATCTAATATTTTCATCCATCTAGTTATGTAGATATCGCTAAAACCAATTCTATGAGTCTCCAGAAATCAATACTCATAGAATGATTTTTTAGGGGCAGTTTTCTGCTTCTAATGATCCTCTATGATAATATAAATTTTGGGCAATACACAACATAATATGGATTTTCTGATTTGGGAAAATGGGGCTAAGGTCAGTAATCTTTGCACATACTTTAAGATTTCCAATTTTATATTTATTTTTCTGTGGTGCTATGGATAGAAACTAGGGCCTTTGACATGCTAGGTAAGTGCTCTATCACTGAGTTATCTTACCAGTCCAAGGATTTCCAAATTTAATACCAATGGCTTAGTGACAACTTTGTTCACTGGCCTTATTCTTCATATAGGTAAATCATACAGTGTGTCTTTTTGTGATTATCGTATTTAATTTAGTCTGAACCTCAAAGAATTTCCTTCCTCTTTAAGTCTGAATAACATTCTGTTACATGTATATATCATTTTTTGCTTATACATTAATTCACTGATGGACCAGTTGAGTTGTTCTTAAGGCTTTAGCGACTATGAATAATGCTGCTGTAAACAGGGGTATATAGATCTGTCTTCAATATACTGCTTTCAGTTCTTTTGGACATATACCAAAAGCAGAATTGCTATATCATATGTTAATTCTACTTTCAATTTTTTGGAGAACAGACACATTTGTTTTCATAGCAGCTTTACCATTTTATTCATAAAGCTTCCAATTTCTCCACATCCTCAATACTTGTTATTTTATTGTTATTGTTGTTTGCAGTAGCTACCCTAATGGGTGTGAGGTGGTATCTTGCGTTTTGATTTGCATTTCCCTAATAGTAATGTTGAATAACTTTTCGTGTGCTTATTGGTTATTTATATATTCTTTGGAGGAACATCCATTCAAGTCCTTTATTCATTTTTGAATTGGGTTGTTTTTGTTGTTGTTGAGTTTTAGGAGTTCTGTATTTTTCTGGATATTACTCCATTATATAATTTATATATAATTTACAGATATTTTCTTCCATTATGTGGGTTGCCTGTTAATTTTCTTTTTTGTAATGGAGATTGCACTTTACCACTAGACCACATCCTTAGCCCTTTTTAATCTTTTATTTCGAGACAAGGTCTTGCTAAGTTGTTGAGGGCCTCACTAAGTTGATGAGGCTGGCTTTGAACTTGTGATCCTCCTGCCTCAGCTCTCAAGCCACTGGAATTACAGGCATGTGCCACCACACCTGGTGTAAATTTGTTGATAGTCTTTTAATACACATTTTTTTCAAGATACTTTTAAGTGACTGTTCTAAAGTCATGTATAAATTTGTTTTGAGCATAAGGACAAAATTTGGAATCATCCTGAAAAATTGCTAATTGAATTGTAGTCATTAGATTAGACTCTGTGTGATCTAGACTTTTTAAGTCAGATGAATCCACTCTCTTCCAGATTCTCCTGAACTTGGTCAGTTGCTTCTGTGTGGCACAGATCTAAGTAAATGTCCCGTGTAGTTAAATTAATGTGATCAGAAGTGATGAGACAGAAGGAAACGGGTTCCTGCTTTCCATGTGCAAAACTTTGGGCCACCTGAAGATGGTGCTGCAGCACCATGTGTGCCTCCTTCATAGATGCCCAGTTCACAGCTGCCAGAGAGAAGCCAGATTCTTTCAAAAGAGACACGTGGGGTTTACCAAAAACTTAGAAACAGGCCTCCTTCGAAAGTCTTGAGAGGGTCAGGGAAGAGATGGAGAAGAAAATCTGTTTCTCATTTCAAAAAACAAGGGATATTTCAGCCGCCATGAGGAGAACAAAAAGGGGGAGAGCATCCTACACTGGGATGCTTTGGGAACTTAGTGCATCGGGAACTCAGCCTTTTCCATGTTCCTGGGTTGAGCTTCCCCATGGAAGCTCCTCTGAGCCCTGTGCTCCTCTGAGCCCAGAATTTAGAGAGAGGTTTATATTCAGGGGTTTTAATAGCCTGACTCCATCTGAACACAAAAAAAGAAAATGAAAAGAAATTGGATCACTTTTTCAGGGACATTTCCAAAACTGTTCAACAACATGTTTTGGTGGAATCTGTACCTTTGCGTGTCTATTACACTGTGTGGTGGGATTTATGTCTTAACAAAAAATGATTTCCTAAAATTATAAAGGCACTTGCACAACTGTATTTTTATCTTCAAACTCACTACCAGTGAAATAGAGGTCTTAATAGAGGTCTTTTTCATCTCTAACCTGGATTGTTCAAAAAGCCTTCTCTCTAGTTTACTTCTACCCTTACCCCCTTGAATTGATCCCCTAAGAAGGACCTTTCTAAGATCTGCATCTGACCACATCTAGCCACCGTTTAAGGTTAAGTATCTCTGTTTTGCCTGTAGCATGAGGTTCATGGTCTTTAGCATAGCCTACTTTGAGCTGACCTCCTCCTCCCATCTCACCTCCTGCCATTCCCCATCTCATATTCTGTGTTGTTGTTTATAGTGACTTCAACATACCATGCTGTTCCATTTTTATATCTTTGCATATGTCATCCCCTCTATCAAGAATGTTCTTCTCTGTCTTGGCCTGTCTACGATTTCTTTTAAGCATTTAATGTCAAATGAGACTTAAATCTTTTTCAAAAAGTTTTCCTCACCTTTATAAGGTCACATTCTTTTCTTCTTTGGGCTGTTTTGTCACATGGTAACATTTCTATGGCAGAACATAGTCCTTTGTTTTGAAAGGACCTATCATGTTGCTTAACGTAGAGGCTTGAATATAGCAGGGACTCAGTGAATGAATATTGTGGTGACTTGAGATTACAACACTGATCAAGGTCATTTAAAAGTCCTCAATGTCAAGTGATACAAAGAATGGATGGATGCTTTGAAGGGAGATATAAAAGATTTTTTTTTTTTTTTTTTAAGAACAGAGAAGACCAGATTTGTTGCCAGTGACCCAGAAAAAAAAATGGTCTGAGAGTTCAGAAGCTTGCATCAGACACCAGATCTGGCCATACCTAGCTTTGAATTTTAAGTAAGTGAAAGTGACCTTATCTTTCTCGGAGTTAGTTTTCTCAACTATTAAATTAAAGAATTGATTTAGCTAACATTCAAAGTTTATTTCAGATCTATAGTTGTAAGCATTTGTATGTTCTCATTATTTAGCACTACACATATAAAAAATGTAAACTTACTTCTTATCCTCAAGTCTCGGAAACACAACTTTTCCAACTTTGCTCATTCTTGCCATTGCCTCCTGTTAAATGGGAAACAAAGCAGACAATTGGGTTGGAAAGCTAAAACCAAAGAGAGGATTGTGACAAGCAATGACATTTGAATTAAAATTCACTTCCCTTTACAATATTCAGTCAATATGATTTTCAACTTGTTTTTCTCTGCCAATAAGAATATGACTCAAGGAATATTAAGGTTAAACCTATGACCACATATCCTGAGCTTAAAAAATAGCTGTGTGTTGAGGCCTCTAGGGCAAACTACCCAGAAAGCCAAGCACCTCTGTGATTGCCTCCAAGGATCAGCATAAGTTACCTTCCCTGCTGACTACATGGACCCAAGGGCATAAGAAAGTCATATAATCAGCCACTAAGTACATTGCCTACTTAACTCTTCAATTCACTTTCAGCTCCTTTCCCAATCTATTAAGTTGTGAATACAGATGTGAGACCTCTGGACTGAGTCTAACTGACCTGAGTTCTGGAATGTTACTCCAGGACATTCCTGTTTTTACTGTGGAACACTCAGGTAGGTAGGTAACGGTTCATTGCATGTGGTATGGTACATACAGCATTCAGATCACCATAGACTGTGCTGGCTCCATTATGTGGATGAAAATGTTCATTTTCCTTGGGCAACTCCCAAGGCTATTAAGGTCGTGAGAAAATAAGGAGATATGGCATGAACCCAAACTTTGGAGTCCAATAGAAATGACTCAGGAAGATAGCAAGCAATGGCCTGACAACACTTCACAAAACAGGCCCTGTCTTAGCTACAGCTATTGAACTCTTATTTTAAGGATGCGGTCATTCTGGGCTCATATGTGCCACTTCTTTTTTTTTTTTTGGTGGAGGGGTGGTGAGAAATACCGGGGATTGAACTCGGGGGCACTCAATCACTGAGCTACATCCCCAGCCCTATTTTTTGTATATTATTTAGAGACAGGATCTCACTGAGTTGCTTGGTGCCTCACTTTTGCTGAGGCTGGGGTTTGAACTTGTGACCCTCCTGCCTCAGCCTCCTGAGCTCCTGGGATTACAGGTGTGTGCCACTGCGCCCAGCCACATGTGCCATATCTTGTGCCATACATTTATTAATTACTCTCTATGTACCAGATACTGCTAGGGATCCAGATTTGCAAAGGACATAGTTTATTTATTTATTTATTTTTCCTAGAGAAACTCAATACTAGCCAGGGGAGGAAAAAAATGTGAAAAGCTGACTATCATACAAAATGTGAGAACACTTGGGTATCTTCAAAACATATCCAAGTGTCCTCGGACCATCTTGCCATGTTCTTTTGATTGACTGGTTTGTATACCATGAATTGCCTTCTGATGTGCCATGCCTATACTGGTTTACATGTTCGTTTTCTTGTTCTTACTGAAATGTAAACACAAGGGAGGGACTTATTGCTGAATCTCAGCACCTCCTGCATAGTCAATAAGCCCTTTCATGCGCCCAGCACAGCACTCCACACATGAAACATGGAGAGGCACGCTGCATAGCCTTCCTTCCATCAAGGAGCTCACTATAGAAAGGAAAAGGGGCTATGATCAAAGAGAGTAGTATAAGCACTATGCTAGACGTGAATAGAATTATTTTTGATAATTACTCAAGGAAACCCAATTCCTTTTAATCTGCTAATTTCCACAGTTTTTCAGTGCTCTGCCAATTCTTCTGCAAGGACAGCATGAACAATCTGGACTGGTTATCTGGGTTTCCAGCCCTCAAAGGATGAGAAAGTGCTGAGTGGAATATCAGAACTGCTAAGGGTAGTAAGAACATTGAAAGCAGGAAGAAATGACAGAGATATAAAAAATGAAGGAAAAACTATTAACAAGAAAACCAGAGACAAGACACAAATAAACAAACAAAATGGCTGCCTAGAGTCATCACAGTGAGCAGGCAAGGACATTTTATTAGACTGCTTCTGCTCCACTTAAGGCTAGGTTAAGAGCTCTGCTCAGCCCATCATATCAGAACATTTTCCTTCACAGGCTAAGTTCTGACTTCCTTAAAACAAGACCTACATGTTGCTGAGGTGTCCTCCACAATGCCCAGAACTAGCTTTGCCACTCATTCTCATTTCATTCTTGCTTCTTCCTCTGCTGGGCTTCTGAGGGGGCCCTAACCTTCTTTCACCACCTCTGAATCTTGAAAATGCCCTGGGAGCATGCCCCTCCTGGTTTTGCTTGGGTTCCAGACTTGAGACAACATTCCAGGATTGCCTTCATGGGTGGGATCCAGGAAACTTGTATTAAAGAAGGTACTCTGTAAATGTTATTTTCCTTCCTACTGTAACAGATGTGTGGACAAATGGCAGACATCAGGGAATTCCCTCTTCCTTCTTCACATTACCTTTGCTTGCTTTAAAAATAAATTATTGAGAAACAAATGTTCAAAATAGAGATTTAGAAGATTTAAAAGGAGTTTATTTTGTTTCTGAAAAATAATCCATTTAAAAATTAAACTTAGGTTAGGCTCCCTGTCCACGGAAGACTTCTCTGACTCATCCTCATTGCCTGCCTGCCCCCTAGATTGAGCTATTTGCTCCCATAGCAACTTGTGCCTCCATCTTTATGACATGGTACCATAATTTTCTGTTAACACATCAGTCTCCCCAACTAGACTATGAGTTCCTTAAGGCAGGAATTGTTATAATTATTTTCACTGCCAAACTCAGCATCTGGTATATCACATGCACTCAGGGAATGTTGATGGAATGAATGRACTGAAGGATAATACACGTGACAGAATGTTAAAATGGAAGTTTTGGCTGAGATCTAAAGATGACAGATATAAGATACCCCAGTGAGCTGGAAACAGACCACCCTGAAGAATTTGTAGAAAGAGTTGTTGAAGACCTGTAAATCAACTCTCTGAAATCTTTTATCCATGTGGAAGATCAACAAGACGGAGTCTCAGGAGAGAGTTGTTGATGTACTGTGCATCAGGCCTCTTCCAGAGCAAGGTGTCAGGGGAGGTCTTCTCTTCATGAGTTAAGGCAGTAGGGCTCCACTGAGACCAATGGAGACCTGGGTGCAGGTCCTTATGGTTGTGGTGCACAGTGGACTGTGAGCAATTCCTGCTGGGAAGATGGGCAGACTGGCAGCTTCCATGAGGAAGTGAAGGATGGATTGCACTGGGATCAGCCAACATTGCCACAGCCTGTCCCAAAGGCATGGCTATTTCCAACAGACCTCTTGGTCCTACATGTGAGAGGACTATCTTGAGTTGTCTTAGATCCTGTCCACTATGACCACTTATGGAGGCTGGAGGTGAACTACAGGATTTCCAAGGAATTAAAAATAAGCCATTTGCTGGAATACAAGGACAGAGACACTGCAGATGACAGGCTTTCTGAGATAGAGGGTCTCCAAAAAATACTATAATAGAGGCTTYTGAGACCAATCTGATCAGAGCTACCACTTCTCATTTGTGCAAAGCCCAGCTAGGGAAATTGGGAGACATCTTAACTTTATTTTCATATATTCCTTGATATTTGAATTTCTGAATTTTGGCTATGACTTACAATTTAAAGCGTCCATAAAATCTTTATTCCCTAAGTGACKTTGTTCTTATCTAGGAAGATAATGGAATTACTGGAATTTTTAACAAGGACAGGGAAAAGCTAGCTCTATTGCACAAATAGATAGGCGCAATGAGGGCAAAAATAAAGTTGTTTTTCAACTGTCTCAAGAAKAGTGGGAATTGTGCCACACAAGTTTTTGTTTTACCAAAGTCACTAAAGGCAAGTTACACATGCATAATAAAGGCTGGATGAAAATAAATTGAAATGTTAATAATTTCAAGAGCATGGGTAACAATTTTTTTCTTATCAACTTTAAAAAATTTTTCTGCAGTGGCATATATTTATTTTATTGTTGTAAAAAATACAAATATAACACATCATATTAAAAAAATGTTATGCTTACAAAGGTAGTCAAACTGGTGCAGGTTTCTCTTCCCCTTCTTTGTCTTCGAAAGGCTGTTGCGGGCACCTGAGGCAATATGGAGAATGCCCGAGAACCAGCCCTGTCATCACAGACTCTGCTGAGTTTTCCAATTTCTCCAGATAATTAACACAAAACTGAAACCTCATGAACACACTGGCTGTATTAAGTCTGAAAATTACCACAGCATAACAATATGAACTTATTATGGAAATGCTGGTCCATGCTAAATATAGTCACCCCCACAATATATTTCTGTTCAGAAGGGTTTATTTGAAGTTGGAACTCCAAATTAATACTTTCTGTCAGCAGGCAGGGGCCGGACAATCTTAATTTGCAGCACGCTACCCTCTTTGTTTGAGTCTAGACGGCACAATGAATAGAGTGACTTTTCTTTTTCCTTTTTGCCCACACAATGAAAGCTTTTTAAAAACAAAAATATTTTGTAAAATAGCATTTTAATCACTTCTTTTCTTTCTCTCTGTAAGGCAAAGCTATAAATAAACCATGAAAGTTCACATTTGATTGTCACTTCTGAAACCAAGTGAAGGGCTTCTATAAGGAAAAAATGGGGTCCCTGTAGCTGCCCATGAAAGCCCTCATTCATGTGGTTTGACCCTTCCCTGGTGTGTCAAGGCAGAGACACAAGTCAGCACGCTCTGCTCACCAATTCTCTGGAGGCAGCACTGGCAAGCGCCAGGCCTCATTGTAGGCAGGGGAAACACCCAGTTCTCATGTGTTATAGCCCTTTGGGGAACTACCAAAGAGCTCTGGACCACACATAGACGTGAGTTATCAGGGAAGACAGGGCAAAGGAAGGAAGGGGATCTTCAGCACCCTTGGAGAAGATGTGGATAATTGAGTGGTAGACATACTGATGTTGKTAATCTGGAGAGCAGGAGATATGGCACCTTCTCTCCTAACCTGGGAAACCATGGCCTTAACCTCTGAGGAAGCCTGCCACATAGTCTAGATTTAGGCACCAATGGGCACTGTAAGACTACTAGTGTCTATAATTATGATCTGCAGGGGAGAATACATTAGGACCTGGTGTTGGGAGCTAGCT